TCACCTGATCCCCAGGTTGAGAACCACAGAATCTGAGTGATCTTTTCCTGGAAATCAGACCATGTTACTGGCCTGCTTAAAACCTTTAGTGGTTTCCCATTGCACCTAGAAAAACATCCCAATTCCTCCCAGAGACCTCAAGGCCGTTCATGACCTCGCCCCTGTCTACTCCAACCTCATCTTCAGCAGCTCTCCATCTTCTCCTCTCACTTAGTCCAGTCCAGCTTCCTTTCTTATCTTGGGCACATCAACCTGTTTCCTGCTGCAGGGCCTTCATGCCTGCCGTTCTCCTGCCCGGGAATGCTCCTCCCCTGGCTCTTCTTGATTGGCCTTTCTCACTTCCTTCAGGTTTGGGCACTAATGCTGATGTGGACATGAGGCTGCCAGTGGCCATCCTGGCTAAGACTGAGGGCAAGCAGAGGCAGGCCTTGTTGAGAGGTGGGGGAGGGGCCTGATGACATCTTCTGAACCCCTGGATCCAGCTGTGCCTCCGGAAAGACTCGTCCATTTGAATTTTCAGTACACAAGGTAATAACATTCTCCTTTTTACTTAAGCTAATTTGGGTTGGGTGTCTGCCACCTGCCATGAAAAACATTCTAGCATTCCATGTGCTCTTTCACAGCCACATCTGCGTGTAGCAAGGGTGGAAAACACATGGGCCTCTCTCAGTACTGGGTGAAAGGTGCCTTTTCAGGATCCTCTGGCAGGTCCCCTCTGGAAGGACTAGAATCCCATTTCCAGCTCTCCACTAAATACCTCCCCTGGTACCCTGCCCACCATCTCCATTCTCTTTCTGTCTTCCTCCAGCTCTTCCTATCTTTTCCCTAAATATGCTCAAAACTCTTTTTTTTACCTAGAGAGAAAATTTTCCTCTACCTGGTTATCCTTTCAGATTACATCCCACCTATTCTATACCCTTCATCATCAAACTGCTCGAAAGAGGGGAATACATATGCCCCTCTGTTCCTCGTCACCATTCAACCCTCGACAACCAGGTGCCCCCTGTGCACCTGCATCTGCCAGCGGTCACCATGACCTCCGAGTTGGTCAACTAAAACAATGGCCTTTTCTCAGTCTTCATCCACATTGCTCTTTCTGCAGCAGTTAGCACAGCTGCCCACACCTTCTTCTCCTCCTCTAGCTCTTGTGATACCTACTGGTTTTCTTATCTTCCTGGCCATTCCTTCTGGTTACTGGAATATTGGCAAAACCTCTAGGCAATGATAAGCCAATCTTGTTTCAGCCTCTTTGGTGCAAGTGAAGCCACTCAACTGGCTTTTAGTTCCACCCCTTTAAAATTCCATCTGAAAGGCCCTGTCACTGAGGTTGATCAGAACAACCAAACGCTTATAGACAGAAATTGAAATTGCCCAGCCACCATTTCTCTAATGGTGACTGTTGATTCCTGTATGCTATCTGAGCACTTGGATAGTGTCTACAAACGTCCATTGGATTCACCTGTCCAGATATGCCTTCTCTAATTGTACTATAAATCACAGCTTTAACTTGGGTCCTTAAAACAGGCTGGCTAGAAAGGACAATTCTGCATTGTAAAATGAAGTGTATACAGCACACTCAACAGGTATTTTTAAGTAAATAACAAACAGATATGATTAAAGTGAGGTCCTGTATTAATTTTCAATCCCTCCTTACCTGGGTATTGGGGAAAACCAATGGTGGATCTGTCTATACAAAGTTCAGGCACGTGGTGCTCCTTTAGCAATATTTCCTGTGCCTTATGAAATGAATTATTTTCTCATAAGGAAATGGCCATATCCTATGGATTGTGAGCAGATCCTAGTCTCACTTTCCCTGTGTATAGTGATATGGCAGATTTTTGTGCTCTCTTGTTTCTATTTTCACTTTAATTAGGGACACTTATGTCGTTGTTGGGACAGCAGACCACACACGTGAGCAGCACTTGGATGAAGTGGGCAGTAGACACGACCACATTTTAGTTTAGAACACTCTTTATTAAGGAAAGCCCTTCAGGCACTTTTATTAACAGGCAGATACAAGCTTAGCATGAGCACCTCTCAAAGTCACAGTTCCTGTTGTTTTTATGGGGTCAAACAGAAGGCAGAGAACACACTGGTGGTGGCTTATAATCAAAACAATGAAAATCAAGTTGTTGGCCTTATGCCTTCATCACACATAACCATCACCTCCTCTGTTTCTCTCCCCTGAGGAATGTAGTGAAGTTGGGATTCAAGACCTGATATTAATCCATACCACATGTGGCACTTGCTTTGACAGAAGACAACATCCCCACCCATGTCGTGACTTGGACATGATGGTGGCTATGTTCTCTGTGCTAAACCGTCTAATCTCTACTGTGTCCAGCCTAGACCTTGAAATGTCTGATCCTCCCTGGACACAGGCGAACCATTGGACCAGAGGCCACAGCAACACCAGGGCGTGCCACCATGGGTGTTTTCCCTAGGTGGAATGCTTCTCCTGAGGCCGACTCCATTGAGCCCACATCTTTGAAGGCATGGCGCAGGTTGTAGTGTGCCCAGTGCAACTGGGGTCCTGGGGGAGTTGCCACCACCACAGGTCCCACCACCAGGGAAGCTGCAGGTGGGCCAGCTGGAGAGGGTGCAGATGTAGCTGGGTTCACCACAGGGGTGGGGACTGCTGTGTTGGCGCCATCTGGTTGGGGCTGTGGGGCCACAGGCTGGAAAGACCATTTCCTTAGGTTAGCTTGCTTCTTACTCCCAGATGAGGTACCCAAGAGTCTGGGTGGCACCCCCACCTAATTTCCTCACAGTAATAATTTTTATTTGCAAGGAATCTGGCGAAAAAAGAAATACCTATATACTAGGGATTGTCATCTGGGTAACAGGGGAGGGGTAACTAGCTTATGGTAACCCGTGTCACCAGGATTATTTTGGCAATGGTGGACTTACAAACACATGTCCCATGAGTAAATATACCCCACCTACAGCTAATCTTCACCAGCAATGCCACCCTCTTTGTAATCTACACCTGCAGCCACTGGGAGCTGCCAGGCGGATCTGGTCACCTATTCTCTACAACTCAGAAAACCACTCTCACCTCCTACAAATAAAAAGGTGGCCTTGTCAACTACACACTAGGATGGTTCTGTCCTGTAGCCACCAGTTTATGGGAAGGGAAGGCATAGCTAAAATATCCTCCCATTTGTTGATAATTCCACATACCACAGGGCTTTTTTTATATTGTGAGGTTTAGATGGACAAGACAGCAAATGCCCTGTAATTACTAATGCACTGCGTAAATGTTAGGAGGCCATTATGTTCCGAAGATGTGGGCAAGAATACTCATAAAGCTGTTACCTGTGTTTGAAACACCTTGCAGGTCACTGCAACCTCTTCCCCATCCAACTTCTCAGTGAGCGTCGCCTTACAGAAGCCGTATTGCTGCCCACAGAAAGAGAGGAGCTATTTTAACTGATTTAAAAGATGGATTTCTCCCCCGTTTCATTGACACTACATCAAGACATAAAAACTTATATTCTTAATTCCCTTTTTAAAAAACTTCATCTTAAACTTTATAGTTTCTGCTTATAGAAGATATATAATTCTATATATAATATAGAAAATACAGAAAGCTTTGAGAATGCCAGAGAGCACTCATAAGCCCAGAAGTGGTGGTGACCCAGGGAGAACTACTGTTAACATTGATGTATTTATTTCTTTTTAAAAAAATACCATTAAAATAATTTAGGCCTGGCCAGTTAGCTCAGTTGGTTAGAGTGCAGTGTGGTAACACCAAGGTCTAAGGGTTCAGATCTTCACACCAGCCAGCTGCCAAAAAAATAAACAAAAATAAAATTTAAAAATTGAGATCATTGTGACTATACCAATTTGTATCCTGTGTTTTTCACTTACTGTAATAGCATTTTCTCATATCATTCATTATTCTTTGAAAACATGATTTTTAGTGTCTGCATGATTTTCCATTTACTGATTTTTTTTGGTTCATTTTATATCTGTGAGAAATCATCTTTATAGATATATTTCTGTCAAACATCTCTGATGATTTCTTTAAGCTAAATTCCTAGAAGTGGACATTGTTGCTTCGAGGCCTGGAAAGTTTTCATATCAGAGATGTATGTAGAAAATCTATACTTCACACTTTCAGCATTCCTTGGCTTCATTAAGAAACAGCCTCTGTCTTTCTCCTGAACCCATGTGCCTTCGGTGGGTGAGATCAGTTGGTGGTGGTTCTTCTGCATTTTTTGTTTGTTTTTTGGCAGCTGGCTAGTACAGGGATGGAACCCTGGACCTTGGCGTTACCAGCACCATGCTCTAGTCAACTGAGCAACCGGCCAACCCTTCTGGCAGTTCTTAAAAGGGAAAGTGACACCTCAGAGGAAGGCCTGGCATGATCTAACCCCACAGAGATTTGGCATTTTGCACTGCTATTCTCTTCATGCAGCCCCAGCATACAAACTACATAAGGATGCTCTGTTCTACAACGAGCTTTGCCTGGGGGGCAACAACTCCAGGTCCTGACCCACTCACCTTATTCACCAGCAGGTTGCATTTGGCTGGATCAGTGACCTCTTTAGCAACACAGTCAGTGGCAGCCATTGCAAACTCCACAAAGGTAGAAGGTGGGAGAGGCTGATAAGAATAAATGAAAACGCTCTTGAAGCAACACAACTCAATGAAAAGGGCAGGGAAGGAGGGGCTCGAGGGAAGTAATGAGGGCCACAGCATGACACAACTTTGGGGAGCACCATTTACATAGACCACATTGTGGGGCCCAGGAAACACCCCCTGAATGGCTTCCCAAGGTCAGTTGTTGTGAGATTGCGTTCTGAAGTGCTTGTACTACAGAGGTAGGGGGTGGGTCTTCCTGAAAAAAGGAGCAGGTATCCATTGCCTTCATCCAGGGTGGAGTGAGGTTTCAGATAGAAAACAGGAAATCAAAGGCTGGCCTGTGGCTCACTTGGGAGAGCTGATAACACCAAGGCCACGGCTTCAGATCCCTATATAGGGATGGCCAGTTGGCTCATTAAGGAGAGCATGGTGCTGACAACACCAAGTCAAGGGTTAAGATCCCTTTACTGGTCATCTTAANGCCTTTTCAGGATCCTCTGGCAGGTCCCCTCTGGAAGGACTAGAATCCCATTTCCAGCTCTCCACTAAATACCTCCCCTGGTACCCTGCCCACCATCTCCATTCTCTTTCTGTCTTCCTCCAGCTCTTCCTATCTTTTCCCTAAATATGCTCAAAACTCTTTTTTTTACCTAGAGAGAAAATTTTCCTCTACCTGGTTATCCTTTCAGATTACATCCCACCTATTCTATACCCTTCATCATCAAACTGCTCGAAAGAGGGGAATACATATGCCCCTCTGTTCCTCGTCACCATTCAACCCTCGACAACCAGGTGCCCCCTGTGCACCTGCATCTGCCAGCGGTCACCATGACCTCCGAGTTGGTCAACTAAAACAATGGCCTTTTCTCAGTCTTCATCCACATTGCTCTTTCTGCAGCAGTTAGCACAGCTGCCCACACCTTCTTCTCCTCCTCTAGCTCTTGTGATACCTACTGGTTTTCTTATCTTCCTGGCCATTCCTTCTGGTTACTGGAATATTGGCAAAACCTCTAGGCAATGATAAGCCAATCTTGTTTCAGCCTCTTTGGTGCAAGTGAAGCCACTCAACTGGCTTTTAGTTCCACCCCTTTAAAATTCCATCTGAAAGGGCCTGTCACTGAGGTTGATCAGAACAACCAAACGCTTATAGACAGAAATTGAAATTGCCCAGCTGAAGCCACTCAACTGGCTTTTAGTTCCACCCCTTTAAAATTCCATCTGAAAGGCCCTGTCACTGAGGTTGATCAGAACAACCAAACGCTTATAGACAGAAATTGAAATTGCCCAGCCACCATTTCTCTAATGGTGACTGTTGATTCCTGTATGCTATCTGAGCACTTGGATAGTGTCTACAAACGTCCATTGGATTCACCTGTCCAGATATGCCTTCTCTAATTGTACTATAAATCACAGCTTTAACTTGGGTCCTTAAAACAGGCTGGCTAGAAAGGACAATTCTGCATTGTAAAATGAAGTGTATACAGCACACTCAACAGGTATTTTTAAGTAAATAACAAACAGATATGATTAAAGTGAGGTCCTGTATTAATTTTCAATCCCTCCTTACCTGGGTATTGGGGAAAACCAATGGTGGATCTGTCTATACAAAGTTCAGGCACGTGGTGCTCCTTTAGCAATATTTCCTGTGCCTTATGAAATGAATTATTTTCTCATAAGGAAATGGCCATATCCTATGGATTGTGAGCAGATCCTAGTCTCACTTTCCCTGTGTATAGTGATATGGCAGATTTTTGTGCTCTCTTGTTTCTATTTTCACTTTAATTAGGGGCACTTATGTCGTTGTTGGGACAGCAGACCACACACGTGAGCAGCACTTGGATGAAGTGGGCAGTAGACACGACCACATTTTAGTTTAGAACACTCTTTATTAAGGAAAGCCCTTCAGGCACTTTTATTAACAGGCAGATACAAGCTTAGCATGAGCACCTCTCAAAGTCACAGTTCCTGTTGTTTTTATGGGGTCAAACAGAAGGCAGAGAACACACTGGTGGTGGCTTATAATCAAAACAATGAAAATCAAGTTGTTGGCCTTATGCCTTCATCACACATAACCATCACCTCCTCTGTTTCTCTCCCCTGAGGAATGTAGTGAAGTTGGGATTCAAGACCTGATATTAATCCATACCACATGTGGCACTTGCTTTGACAGAAGACAACATCCCCACCCATGTCGTGACTTGGACATGATGGTGGCTATGTTCTCTGTGCTAAACCGTCTAATCTCTACTGTGTCCAGCCTAGACCTTGAAATGTCTGATCCTCCCTGGACACAGGCGAACCATTGGACCAGAGGCCACAGCAACACCAGGGCGTGCCACCATGGGTGTTTTCCCTAGGTGGAATGCTTCTCCTGAGGCCGACTCCATTGAGCCCACATCTTTGAAGGCATGGCGCAGGTTGTAGTGTGCCCAGTGCAACTGGGGTCCTGGGGGAGTTGCCACCACCACAGGTCCCACCACCAGGGAAGCTGCAGGTGGGCCAGCTGGAGAGGGTGCAGATGTAGCTGGGTTCACCACAGGGGTGGGGACTGCTGTGTTGGCGCCATCTGGTTGGGGCTGTGGGGCCACAGGCTGGAAAGACCATTTCCTTAGGTTAGCTTGCTTCTTACTCCCAGATGAGGTACCCAAGAGTCTGGGTGGCACCCCCACCTAATTTCCTCACAGTAATAATTTTTATTTGCAAGGAATCTGGCGAAAAAAGAAATACCTATATACTAGGGATTGTCATCTGGGTAACAGGGGAGGGGTAACTAGCTTATGGTAACCCGTGTCACCAGGATTATTTTGGCAATGGTGGACTTACAAACACATGTCCCATGAGTAAATATACCCCACCTACAGCTAATCTTCACCAGCAATGCCACCCTCTTTGTAATCTACACCTGCAGCCACTGGGAGCTGCCAGGCGGATCTGGTCACCTATTCTCTACAACTCAGAAAACCACTCTCACCTCCTACAAATAAAAAGGTGGCCTTGTCAACTACACACTAGGATGGTTCTGTCCTGTAGCCACCAGTTTATGGGAAGGGAAGGCATAGCTAAAATATCCTCCCATTTGTTGATAATTCCACATACCACAGGGCTTTTTTTATATTGTGAGGTTTAGATGGACAAGACAGCAAATGCCCTGTAATTACTAATGCACTGCGTAAATGTTAGGAGGCCATTATGTTCCGAAGATGTGGGCAAGAATACTCATAAAGCTGTTACCTGTGTTTGAAACACCTTGCAGGTCACTGCAACCTCTTCCCCATCCAACTTCTCAGTGAGCGTCGCCTTACAGAAGCCGTATTGCTGCCCACAGAAAGAGAGGAGCTATTTTAACTGATTTAAAAGATGGATTTCTCCCCCGTTTCATTGACACTACATCAAGACATAAAAACTTATATTCTTAATTCCCTTTTTAAAAAACTTCATCTTAAACTTTATAGTTTCTGCTTATAGAAGATATATAATTCTATATATAATATAGAAAATACAGAAAGCTTTGAGAATGCCAGAGAGCACTCATAAGCCCAGAAGTGGTGGTGACCCAGGGAGAACTACTGTTAACATTGATGTATTTCTTTCTTTTTAAAAAAATACTATTAAAATAATTTAGGCCTGGCCAGTTAGCTCAGTTGGTTAGAGTGCAGTGTGGATTTCTTTTTAAAAAAATACCATTAAAATAATTTAGGCCTGGCCAGTTAGCTCAGTTGGTTAGAGTGCAGTGTGGTAACACCAAGGTCTAAGGGTTCAGATCTTCACACCAGCCAGCTGCCAAAAAAATAAACAAAAATAAAATTTAAAAATTGAGATCATTGTGACTATACCAATTTGTATCCTTTCTTTTTAAAAAAATACTATTAAAATAATTTAGGCCTGGCCAGTTAGCTCAGTTGGTTAGAGTGCAGTGTGGTAACACCAAGGTCTAAGGGTTCAGATCTTCGCACCAGCCAGCTGCCAAAAAAAATAAACAAAAATAAAATTTAAAAATTGAGATCATTGTGACTATACCAATTTGTATCCTGTGTTTTTCACTTACTGTAATAGCATTTTCTCATATCATTCATTATTCTTTGAAAACATGATTTTTAGTGTCTGCATGATTTTCCATTTACTGATTTTTTTTGGTTCATTTTATATCTGTGAGAAATCATCTTTATAGATATATTTCTGTCAAACATCTCTGATGATTTCTTTAAGCTAAATTCCTAGAAGTGGACATTGTTGCTTCGAGGCCTGGAAAGTTTTCATATCAGAGATGTATGTAGAAAATCTATACTTCACACTTTCAGCATTCCTTGGCTTCATTAAGAAACAGCCTCTGTCTTTCTCCTGAACCCATGTGCCTTCGGTGGGTGAGATCAGTTGGTGGTGGTTCTTCTGCATTTTTTGTTTGTTTTTTGGCAGCTGGCTAGTACAGGGATGGAACCCTGGACCTTGGCGTTACCAGCACCATGCTCTAGTCAACTGAGCAACCGGCCAACCCTTCTGGCAGTTCTTAAAAGGGAAAGTGACACCTCAGAGGAAGGCCTGGCATGATCTAACCCCACAGAGATTTGGCATTTTGCACTGCTATTCTCTTCATGCAGCCCCAGCATACAAACTACATAAGGATGCTCTGTTCTACAACGAGCTTTGCCTGGGGGGCAACAACTCCAGGTCCTGACCCACTCACCTTATTCACCAGCAGGTTGCATTTGGCTGGATCAGTGACCTCTTTAGCAACACAGTCAGTGGCAGCCATTGCAAACTCCACAAAGGTAGAAGGTGGGAGAGGCTGATAAGAATAAATGAAAACGCTCTTGAAGCAACACAACTCAATGAAAAGGGCAGGGAAGGAGGGGCTCGAGGGAAGTAATGAGGGCCACAGCATGACACAACTTTGGGGAGCACCATTTACATAGACCACATTGTGGGGCCCAGGAAACACCCCCTGAATGGCTTCCCAAGGTCAGTTGTTGTGAGATTGCGTTCTGAAGTGCTTGTACTACAGAGGTAGGGGGTGGGTCTTCCTGAAAAAAGGAGCAGGTATCCATTGCCTTCATCCAGGGTGGAGTGAGGTTTCAGATAGAAAACAGGAAATCAAAGGCTGGCCTGTGGCTCACTTGGGAGAGCTGATAACACCAAGGCCACGGCTTCAGATCCCTATATAGGGATGGCCAGTTGGCTCATTAAGGAGAGCATGGTGCTGACAACACCAAGTCAAGGGTTAAGATCCCTTTACTGGTCATCTTAAAAAACAAAACAAAACAAAACAAAACAAAACAGGAAATCCAGAGGTCAATGTTAGGCTGACTTGAGTGGAAACCCTGCCTCCCCTGGCTGTACTTTGAGACCTAAGGCTCAAGTTATTCCAAGACGAGTGAGAAAGGAAAAAGATTAATACCTCTCCCACCTATTTCACAGGGTAGGATCAAATGAAAAATTTAGATGAAAGTATGGGAGATACTGCTTGTGCTTTTCTTTCTTACAGTACTTGGAGCATATAGACACTTATGATAATAAAATATGTTATCTGGTGTAGTCTGGGAAGGGGATGTTCTGAAAATCACATTTTCTGGTTAATAGAATTACAGTCTATACTAGTGTGTTTCCAAGGGTGCCATAGCTGGTATCCAGTATACCAGTTTTTAAAATATTAGAATTCTGTTGCATTCGAATGTGCTAAACCATCTTCAGTATAATTACATTTTCCCCGCAGTGATTCAAAAGGCATTTTAGGATCCTGCTGTTATATGCCTGTCAGTGTTAGTAGGCTCATGCCTCCATAAGTATTAATTATGGGACTGTTGCAGACGTCCGGTGCTGATGGGTGATAAATGTGTGCAGACCAGTGAATGTACAGTGAGTGCTCGTGGGTACGTAGGAACCCCCACCTGCTGAACACCGAGTCCTGGGTGTCACTAGAACTGAGGAAGTGGGGCGCGCCTACCTGCAGCGACCGGCTGCTCTGTGTCAGACGGCTCATCATCTAACATTAAGACGCGCTGAGGGCTCTGGGGTCCTTGTGACACTCGGGGTCCTTATACCCCCGGGGACTCCTTTTTTCCTTTTTCCACCAACACCCTCCTTGCCTCATTGTTGCTGCCGCTGCACCTGTTTTTCCCTCACCCCTGCTTCACCACCTCCATTCCCGAAGTACCCAATCTGTCCAAAGGGAGGGTCTCTCTTTACCACAAGTTGACCCCGGGAAATTTCCACCAGCTGAAAATAGGAGCCGTTACTCTGAGCGTTGAAGGCGGCGAGGGCGGCCTGCACGGCGTGCACCACCTTGGCGTGGTTAAGTGGAGCCAGCAGGGGGCAGTCTGGGCACACCTTGCGCACATCCTCCGCCGAGTCTGCGCGGGAGGAGAGACCGTGGGCTGTGATTCTCGGCGGCGTTCACCCCAGCTCTGCTTACTTAGAAAGGACTAAATGTCCATCGATGGAAGATTGGATAAGGAAACTGTGGTATATATACACTATGGAATACTACTCTGCTGTAAAAATGAATGAAATTCTCCCATTTGCAACAACATGGATGAACCTGGAGAAACTTGGGTTGAATGAAACAAGCAAAGCACAGAGGGATAAATACCGCATGTGCTCACTCATATGTGGGAGCTAAGAGAGAAAGAAGGAAGGAAAGAAAGACCACAGTGGTGCCATGATCCAACAGAGGGGGGAACATTCCTAGGGCTACATTAGTGGAGTGGGGGGCAGAGGGAGAGGAGGAGGGAGGTTGGGCGATAATTGGGAGGGGACAAGGGGTACAAAAGTAATTTCTGGTAATGGG